GACATTCATATCTTCCATCCTGACATTCTTTTCAGGTCCCCTCCTGCCCTAGGACTTTTCAGTGGGTAGATTTGGAGGAAAAGAAAATTCGAACATGAAATTACTCAATTTCAAGTCAACTTCATTTCCTAGCTCTCTGGTGGGTTATCTGCCAAAGCAACCACTTGTCCTTAGTGCCCTAGAAATGCCCTTGTTCACAAGGTCACAAACAGCTGGTTACCATTCTCAGCTAAGCCCTTGTTCCTGCATGGATCCCTGCTGTGGCGAGGAAGTTGAGCCTTGTATAAGGAGTTTCCATTCTCAAGTCCCAGATTTGAATCCCAGGTCCTTCCCTGGTGCAGGTGATCTGACTCTCTAAGAATGGAGAGGAAATGAACGATGGGAGTGTCTTCATATCCTCCTTGTGAGCATCTGATGGAAGAATAATAAATAAAGCTCTGTTGTGCTGATCAGGGGAATAATAAAGAAAGCTCCTGATGCACCGTCACAGGTGCTCAGGGAAAGGGCCTCCACCTCAGCTCCCGTCCTCCCGTCCGGGGCACACACAAGAAAGGAGAGGCGTTGGGTCCGGTGTTCTCTCCTGGAGGTGGCTCAGAGGCCAGGCTCCTGTGCCCTGCCTTCTACAGAAGAAGCCAGTGCTGAGAGAAGACTGGCCTTTTCCATCTCAGGGAATCAAGTAAAGGCGAATCAGTGCGCTGGACCTGAATTCCAATCAGGAAGCCTGTGCTGAGCACACAGCACACATAGACCCTATGCCAGGGACAGAGGATGAAGCAGTGGGTAAGCCTTGGCCCTTGCCTCCCAGCCTCCATACATCTCAGCGTGCGAATGCAAAACGTCTTTCAACACATCGACTTCCCTAAGAAATTGTAGTGATTTTATATTTTATTATACTACTGGGGCTTATTTTTATTTTAACAAAAAGGTTTACGTGCAAAAGAAATACATTATTTTTTCCTCTCTTAATCCGTAAATTCACTCATGTTTAGGACTGAATTCATTTCTAATAATATGCACAGGAAGTGACTGTTTTTTCAAGGTTGCTAAATAAATAAAGCCAACCACATTTTCACTGAAATATCTGACAAGACAGTTTTGAAGTCCTGGAGAAGAACTCATTCTCTAATTGTCTAATTAAAACCCATTTAGTGTAATAAACTAGAATCTCCCAGGGCCTCCTCTATTAGAGAAAACTTTATTAATCTGAGATGAGTTACAATATTAATTTAGAGGAAATAAACTGCATTTGGGGGGAGAAAAGCAAACATGCTGTAAGTGGGAACTCTCATTTATCCACACTGGCTCCCCATCTGACCACACATCGTTTGACAGATATCTGTCTTCCCCAGTTGGGAACTGAAAACCAAGTTCCCTCCATGACCACTGGTGGTATTTTTCCTTTGGGAAGACAGATTTGTTCTTCTGCTCTTTCTTGCAGCTAGGTCAAACTGAGCTTGATGTTCTGACACCCCCTCTCTTGTCCAACAACTTCCCATTGAAAAGTGAGACCATTCTGGTCAGCAAGGTTTGTCCGTGGCCTCAAAGGGAGCTCAGTGCCGAATGGAGAATGGCAATGTCTGATTGTCCTCCCAAGTGAGAGGATACAGCACGAAATTCTCTCTCCAGGAACTCCTGGACATGTGGCTGACGCAGAGTGGATCACAATCGAATATGGGGCCCTGAGTAAGAACGTGCTCTCAGAAGGTCACGTATATGTGTTATGTATGCATGGGTCTGCAAACTACAGCCATGAATACATCTCTATATCGTCAAAAGAGAAGTCTGAATTGAGGCCAACAGATTTCCCTAGAGCCTAGAGGCTTCTAAGGAATGTGTCTTAATTAGTAGATCAAAGTAGTTTGTATTTAACATGTCAAATAGATGATAGATACATAGATAGATCAATCGATCGATGGATGATTGATTGATTTAGAAGTCAATAGAACTGTTTAGACCAATAACCTGCAGAAGGATCAGGTACTAGGTTTCCCTCAACCTACATTTCCTCCTCTGTAAAATGGGCTCGATTACCTCTCCAGGTGGTATTAAGACATAAACGAAACAGTGCGTGTAAAGTGCTTAATGAAGCAACTGACATAAAGTAAGCCTCAATAAACAGAAACCATTACCACTATTATTCTTATTGAAGAACAGTAAATTTAGGGGCACCTCTGTGAGTTCAGGAATTCGGAACGGTAAGGAGACAGACTGGGTTAATGGGAAGGTGACGACGGACCAACGCACCTGTAACAGATACTTTCCACAACAATGCACGGCTTAAGTGGGGCCAGTCACCTGGTGGTCAGATGTTCCCCCGGTCACCAAGGATGAGATGGTTTTGCCCGGGAACCCAGCTTGGTTTCCTGGTTCAAAAATCACACCTGTGAAATTCGATCCAGGTGGGAAATTCTTCTGGTTGACTCTGCTAAAGCCATGGTTCATTATCAAGTTATTTCTCTGGGTCACTCTGAGGTCATCTCTTAATTCATAACAGCCCGGGGAGGGGGCAAACTCTAGCTTCTCAGCCTCTGCCGGGAAGCCCATTGTAGCACTTCTCGTCTGCTGAGCACTTCCTGGGTGCCGGGTGCCAGCCAAATAGCCTTCTGCACAGCCACTTACTTAAGCCTCTGATGACCCCCCAGGGGAGCAGCTACAAGGATCCCCACATCAAGATGAAGAATCTCAGGCTTGCTAAGTCCAGTTATTTGACCAAGATCACAGCTAATGGGGCCAGCACTGCAGGTGAGTGCCAGAGCCCTTCCCATCAGCCTCCGCTTCACCTAAACCATTAATCCGCCTTTTCTCTCCCATGTCATGTGTGTTTCTACTGCATACAAGAACAAAAGATGGTTTAAAATTCTCATTTTTCTCACCTGCTGAAGAGCTGGACGGCCTATTGTTCCTAAGCAAGCTATACCTGGCGCTGGGTTCTCTAGATGATCCCTCCAATCCTCTTCATGTGCCATCTCTGCTTGCCCTCATCCCTGCTCAGGATTCTTTCTGGCCTTTCAGAAAACAACTGGCAACAATTTAGCAACTAGTTTAAATCTCTTCAGTTGGGTAAGAATCCCCTTCACGGAAGGCGGTGGGGGGGTGGGTGGGGGCGGGCCTGGTTGGAGCAAAGCAAGAGTGCCACCTGGTGGGACATTTGGGTCACTGCCAACAATGTTCCCCAGGCAAAGGTGGGCGGGCAAGGTGGGCTGAAGCTACATCAAGGGTGGAAAGGTGTCCACACTGCCAGGGACCATTCCTAGACAACTACAAGAACTAACTCAGCACGGTCCAGGCACTAACTTCATGAAGTTCAAGTCTTACTCAAATGCAAGTTTGGACTTTAAAGGCATGCCTTTGTGCTCCAAAGCCCAGTTGGATTAGGGTGAGGTAAGAGGCAGGTCATCCATGCAGGGGCAAAACAGCATCTCATCTTTATTTGAAATTTTGAAATTATTTTCACCGTGGATTTTTGGCATTGATTTTGACTTTTTAGGATTGCATTAAAATATTAGTTATCTCAATTACTGAGTTTGGAGAAACCCTCTCTTACATTTTGACACACCACAAACACCTCTTGCTTCACCCTAGTATCGGCTCTGCTGAAGTCCTCCAAAGGATTCTGTTTCCTTTCAAAGCTCTGTCTGTACAGGAGCTACACACAGCTCCTGAGGTTTCCTGGCACACCTGCCTTTGCTCTGTCCCATCTGAGAATGGTCTTGTCGTCACCACACTCCTTCCTACCCGACTCACCCACTCAAGTCAAGAGAAAGTACCTCAACCGGGTACACACTTCGGTGTAACTGCCCAATAACCTGACCAAACACACGTGCCGATCACTAGCCTCATCACAGATTACGGCTCTGGAGCCGGCAGCTCCCTTGCCTCTGTTTCTGCCACGTCCCAGAGCACCGGGCCGCGAGTCTGAGCCAAGAGCGCGTCTCCCCACCGCGTGCCCTCACCTAACGTTGGCCGGCCCCAGCTGAGGGTCTGCCTTGGGACTTCACTTTCTCAACAATGTCCAAGCTGAATGCCCACATCAGGCCGTATCACCATCAAACTCTGTGTCTACGCTGGGTCATGCCAGGCCCCTGGTCCACACCTGAGGCTAGGTGGGAAGTTCTTTACCTGGAACAAATGAGTGGGTTGGGAGAGGGGCTGGTTCTGGAAACTCCTGAATTTTCATGCAAAATGATGTCCATTTTCTGGGGGAGATGGCGTATCACTTTCTTTCCACTCTCCAAGGAGCCCTTGATCCCATAGAGAGTAAAAATCGCAACAGTCTTTATAAAGTCTTCAAGCTTTATCAAGGGTCTGTGTGAGAAAGAGCAACAAGAAATCTCCTCCCATGCCTGGCCCAGGAAAACAAGTATCAGTGGCCTGATGTGGGCCATCCTGATGAAGGTCCATACATTTTTCAAAATTCAGAGGAAGGAAAAATTCTTCTCTCTCACTAAACTGGAATCTCAGCTGGATCCTGAAAACTGGAGAGTCCCTGCTGCCTTCTTTGTCTCTCTCTCTGTGCTAAAGATCTCTTTCGGCCTTGCTATTGTTCTCGGGCAAACTTCTTTTGCAAAATGGAGCCTTGCCTCCGGAATATCCTTCCACTCTTTTGGCCTTCTTGACTCACCCTTCCAGATCAGCTTTCTCCACATTTCCCAGCAGGGCTGGGCACCTCACACACTCCCATTGTCACGCAGATGACTTTTCTAGACTGATTTGCATATTTCTCCTGCACTCCAGAGGGTGAGCCCAGGAAGGCAGGAGCCCAATCATATTCATTTCCTATCCCGGGCACCTAGCACAGAGTCCATGTGTGTGTGTTGGGGGCGAGGGGGGGGGCGCGGTTTGATGGATGCATAAATAAATAGACCCATGAATGAACAACCAGCCCCCCCCCACACACATACCTCCATGCCTTCATTTCCTCCATGAGGAGAGCAAGGCTCTGGGGGACATTAGCATGCCATGAGACAGAGCCACACGGGGTGGGGGGGGGGGGGCGGAGCCACACCCACACCAGCTGCAGGCCTCCGGGCAGCTGTGTGCTGATGTCACGCAGTCAGCACCCCACACCACACTGCGGTGGCCACCATGGCATACCAGCTTGCCTCGCCTTCTGTTTGCTGCTCCTGGGTTCAGAGCACACAGTAGGGAGACACTGACCGAGGGGACAAGTCAGGGGCAAGAAAGCGGGTCACTGGCAGATGCCACCTGCCCTCCCTTGGCAGGGTACGGGAACCCCGAATCTTCTCTGGGATGCTCTGTCATGACCATAGTGAGGACCAAAATGAGACACCGTTGGGCTCTTTCAGACTGACCTCAACAGCAGAGAAAGAGCTGAATTTCATGCCCAGAAACGCATTGTCCGTGAACCCAAACAGCCAGTTTGACTTGGCTTCCTCCCCCCGGAATTAGATTCATGAGAAGTCTGATAAAATCTCGGGCCGGCTGCTCGTCCCGAACACATTGCAGAAGCTGGAAAGAGCCGGGAGGACGGGCTCCCCAGCTGGTTTTGTTCCTGCTAGGAAGGGCGGGGAGAAGCCTCGGAGGAAATTCGTAGGCCCCCACACAGCTGTGGTCGTTACTGAATCATTAGATTTGCCACAAACAAGATAAAAATTTCAAACGACAAAGAGGACTTTTCCGTGGTCTGCCGAATGGGGTTTCTCATCATGTTTTGGTTCCTTCTGGTGGCAGCGGCTGGCCGGCAGGGTTTCCTCACACACGCACTGCCTTTGCCAGAAAGCCGCAGGACCCCCCCGCGGCCTCTCCCACCGCTGCTCCCGCTCCCCTGAATGGGGCAAAGGGTTTCTTTTTTAAAGTAGGTAAATCCGGAAAAGACTCAGGGTTTTGAGTCATTGTTTCGTGAGTAACAGCCTGACCTTCTCTTGTCCGCTTCTCAGAAGTACAGGTTTCTTCTGTGAGGAACACAAAAGCCCACGCAGGAAAAGAGAAGAATATCCCAAATTCATGGCTGGGAAAAGGGAAGTCACTCTGCTGTTTGTCCTCAATGTGCACCCCATTCAAATTCTCCACCTGTTCCAGATGTCTGCTGGAAATCCGCCCCTTGTCCCTGATCCTGCGGTTTGCTATGGTGTGTCTGTCTTATCTGTCACCCTAGACCTCAGACCTCTTTCGTACCTACTAAGTGTGTAATAAATATTATCGGCTGATAGAAAACCTAGCGCCAAATTAAAGTCGAGAGGATTTTTATAAAAACGAGTCATTTAGAAAGTGTCACTAGAGCCAGGACCTTTATACCATGTTTCATCCTCACTGCGATCCTGTAGGGGTGGGTTTCTTTCCATTTTACAGATGAGAAAACTGAGGCTCAGAAGGATTCTGGGAGTACAAACTGCTTCTCAGTGGTGGTGGGTAGAATTCCAGGACGGTCTCACTTGCAAGGCTGTGCTTATCACCTCTTTGGACTTCCCAGGGTTTCAGTGGATGACTGGGAGAGCTGTCAGTAGCCAAGACCTAAGGGATCAGGACACTGTGTAAAACACGTCCGGGCTCAGAGCAGAGAAAGGTTCACTAGCGTGCTGAAGTCTTTCATGCTTTTCCTGGCAGAGCGGCACCGACCGCCCAGGAAGCCCTCATTCCCCAAATCCCGCCCCTGCCCCCTACCATGGCCAGCTCTCCACTCCCATCCGTCCTAGGTGGGTATCAGGCCAAAAATGTCCTTTGTCTGCTCCCCTAACTAGCCCTGAGCTGGGAGTGTGGCACAGTATGGTGGTTCTGAGGATGTGTGTGACTGCTGACACTCGCCCCAGTCGTGCTCATAGCTGATATCCTTGAATCAATCCCAATACTCTTTGCTAGAGAAGATAGACCAGACCTCAGAACCCTTCCAGTACAGCATTCCAGGCAGACACCAGCAATCCATCAGCATTGTCCTGAGATTAAGCCTGTCGTTATTGGCATAGCAAGTGATCAGTGGAATTTAATTTCCATTCCCTTCTCTCTTTCCTGCCTGCCTTCCGCAGTGTTTCTGGGATGGGTAGAGGGGTGGATGGGTAGATGGATGGGTGGATGAATGGAAGGACGGATGGATGGACAGATGGATGGGTGGGTGGATATGATGGATGGATGGATGATGGATGGATGGATGGACAGATGGGTAGAAGGATGGATGGATGGATGGATGGATGGATGGATGGATGGATGGATAGATGGATGGATGGATGGATGGATGAAGGGAAATTGGTTTCTCACCTTACAGAGGAGCCCTGGTTGGCACCACTCCTAATTCTGCTGATTTCACTCAGTGCTGATGCTTCTTTGACAAAACATGCTCTTAGCATGTGGCGTTTGTTATAGGAACTGATGAGATTCCTGGGTCATCCTGAGGCCACGGAGGATCCTCAGCGTCAGCACTTTGTTTCTCACTCAGTCTCATTTCCTCCCCCTCTAACATATGCCTGAGCTTAAAAACATCCACTCATCCCATACTTCCTTCTTCTTTTTAAAGCTCAAGCTGACAAGAGAAATTTCTTCTCCCACTCACCTTTTTTTTTCTATACAGAGAAGAAAAAATACTTACAATCCCACTGTGGGGTGCATAGGAATGGCCAATGATTAAAAACTCTTTTGTGTCTTTGGAACCATCAGCATCCTTAACCTATGCCATTAGCTGCCTAGAGGTTCTGAATCATCCCACGATTTAGCTATGGATGGGGAAGCATGTCTTTCCAGGGCCTTTTAAGAAGCCCTGGCTTTGGTTTTGAACCAATCAAGTTATGGTGTTATCAGAATATTCTTTACTTAGCAAAATACCCCTTAGTGTTCAAGAGGAGGAAAATGGGGGCACCTGGGTGGCTGAGTCGTTAAGCGTCTGTCTTCAGCTCAGGTCGTGATCCCAGGGTCCTGGGATCGAGCCCCACATCGGGCTCCCTGCTCGGCGGGAAGCCTGCTTCTCCCTCTCCCTCTCCTCCTGCTTCTGTTCCCTCTCTCGCTGTGTCTCTCACTGTCGGATAAATAAAATCTTTTAAAAAAATAAAAGAGGAGGAAAATGTTAAGAAATTTTTATTCAAGTCAGTTTGAAGAGGAATAAAATAACTCTTATAAAGCAACACTTTTGAGATTTGAGTACAAGTAAATCAGAAGCATATGGATTGTGTGCTGTTAAAACATGCTTTTGTTTCCCCAGAAAGGAAAAAATACTTGGGAAAAATATATTCTATAAAATGGCATATATTGGAAAATAGCTGGGGATTTTTAACAACCAAAATGTAGCAGGGATGGTCCAACTCTAGTTATTAATATCCTGGAACCAGCTAGGGAGTAAAATTAGGTGGTAAAATTATTGTACCATTTCTTACTCCAAGCTGGAAATGACATATTCCTCAGATAGTTCTAAAAAGAGAAAAATTATATACTGAGATCTATGAGATGAGGTTTTGTTTTATTGTCTTTGTTTTGATATTCTGATAATTTCTTTTCACTGGACTCACAGTCTGGGAAAGTAAGAGTGTGGAGGTAAAGATGGGGTCCTAGAGTCAAACGGTTGACTTGAACCACACCTCTGCCCCGTTAGCCATTGGATCTTCACAAGACATTCACCTCTCCCTGTGCCCTAGTTTCCCCATCTGGAAAGTGAGAAGAAGAAGAAGAAGATGATGAATTATTACACTTACCACCTGGGTAAAGCACTTGGAATAAATGCCTGATGCACAGCAAGTTCTCAGTATGTGTTAGCTGGTATTATTTGTCATCTCACCTAGAATGCTAGCCACTAGACAACTCCATGGCTCAGTCACACACGTCAAAACTTGACAAACCTTTAGGTAGGCTGACAAAGAAAAAAATGAAATAAAATGAAATGCAAATGGGGACATTACAACCAACTGTAAAGAAATAAAAAGTATTAGGAGAGAATACTATGAACAACTGTACACCAACAAATTTGATAATTTATACAAAATAGCAAATTCTCAGAAACACACAAATTACCTAAACTGACTCAAGAAGAAACAGAAACCACAACAGACCGATAGTAAGTGAAGAGAGTGAATCGGTAATCAAACCTCCCTATGAAAAAAAGTCCAGGACCAGATATCTTCACAGGTGAATTCTACTAAATATTTAAAGAAAAATTAACACCAATCCTTCTCAAGCTCTTCCAGTCACTCAGTTCTTTCAGAACTCTGCCCTCCCTGACCCTTCTATGTAACTATAGTACTGCTTCCCCACACACAAATATGCATTCCCTCACCTCAACTTATTTTTCATCATAGCAAGGTCACCACCTCATATATTACATACTCATTTTCTTATTTCTTTATTGACTCTCTTCTCCCTCTAGAATGTGGGAGCTCTATCTGAGCAGGGAATTTTTTTTTCTACTGTTGAATTCTCCATGCCTAAGATAGTGCCTACCACATAGTGGTGCCTATAAAAATTTGTTGAATAAGTAAACTGTCTCATCATTTTTTTAGTGAAAGAGAATAAAGAGAAATCTAGAGAGGACCTGGGTATTGCAGAACTCTAAGATCTAGCTGACTAGAAGGACATGAGCCTTCAGAAGCAGATAACCAAGAAAGTGTTGTGTCAGGAAAACGAAGGGAAATGTGATTTCTGAAGAGCAGGGACTGGTCAGCAGTGTCAAATAATGCTGAGAAATCAAGTACAACGAGAACCAAAATGTCCACTGGATTGAGCTGTAAAAGATGAGTGACCAACTTAGCAAGAAGCACTTGGGGGTATCATAAAGCTAGAAGCCAGAAGCCAGTCTGTTTTGAGGGGTAGATGAAGGTGGCAGCACATTCTGACAACATTTTGAAAAAGTTTCTTTATTTAAAAAAAAAATGAAGATACAGAGATAAGGAAGTTGCTAGAAAGGGCAGGGGTCAAGTGAGGATATTGTTTTTAAGTGGGCAAGATCTGTAAATGTCTAAAAGCCTATGGAGGGAAGCCAGCGGGGGGTAGAAAAGAAGTTGAAAAATACAGGGGAAGGGAAGGTTCCCAGAAGGAAAAGTATGGAGCCAGACCATAGCACTGGCTTTAGCAAGGAACCACCTCTTCTATACCTTCAGGCTGGAGGAAAACAAGACCCGGAGAGCCCCCATGACTTACCCACCAGCCCAACCAGGACCCGGGTCTCCAGTGTTTTTTTTTTCCTATGCAGTTTTTTTTTTCCCCTCTTGCTCAAATTAGAATGTTCAAGGGGCAGTGAGGAGGAGAGAGGGATAGAAACCAAAACTGGTAAGTAAAAAATGCTGACTGCAATAGATTTTGTCCCTGAAGACTTTCACAGGGAAGCTACTTCTTCCTACTCAGGAGCTCCCTTCCCTGCGCTGTGAGCCTCATTAGCGTAGCATCTCCCTGAAGCCCTCACTCACTCCTCCTCAGGACAGCACAGGGACTTACCTAATCGGGGAGTCTGTGAGAAGAAACAAAGCATGCACAGCCCAGCCCCTTCCTGTGTCTTCTTTTTAGGAAATACCAGAGAAAACATGATCTAGGTGGCTCTCAAACCCACGGCAAGCATAGCAATAAAGCTCTCCACGCCTACCCTGTGTGGAGGGTAGCAGTGGTCTGACTCTGTCTGCAGCCAGATGGGCAAGTCTGGCCAATATGTGGGCTCAGGATTAGGAAGTCCATTTGCCCACAGATATATTCCACTTTCTCCAATGTCGGTCTTATCAATAGGAAAGATGTTATTTTGGTGTCTCTCGGCCTCCCTCCTTTATCTTTTTACTTTTTCCAGTGGATTCAGAAAAAGATGAGGAAGAAGGGAGCTAATTACTCCAACAGAAATTACACTATTAAAATTGGCGTGTGAAACTTGATTCTCAAAATCATTCTTTTTAAGATATAAAGACCAAAGAAACATATTTTCTGATATAATTTAAAAAATGCAAGTGCATTCTTTTCGGAGAACACTCAGAGGGGAGAATAGGAGAGCCTGATTGCTTTCATGGATGTGTAAAACTCAAAGGACCTGCTTTCTTCATTCAGTTGGATCAAAGTACGAAATCACAGTTGATCATTTCTTCAGCTCTTTCCAGGATTCCACTGTTTTCTGTCTGGAAACAGTCATGGCCACATCCACAGTTCCAAACTTGAGAAAATGACCCAGAATCATCACAACATGTGAAGAGGCCTCATGAAAATGACCATTCTGTGGGGCGGGGCGGCCGGGGAGGGGGGCGGCGGGAGGAGAAACCTGCCAAAGTACATTCTTCCTTGATGAGAAAAATGCATCAACAATTGTAAAATTAGGTGTTTGGCACTGGGTTGAGCCATGGATCCAGTTTTCAACTCACTTCTTTCCAACTTTTTCAGTGCCAAAGAGTCGATTCTAATAATCATTTCAGAAATAGTCACTGTCACCTTCTCCTATTACTTGGCTCTCCATATTTCAAATTGAAAAATATTGGCCCTGACCGTACAACTTCTCTCTGCTGCTCCCAAGTTGCTATTTGGAAATTTACCAAATAATCTTGAGGTCTATCAGGGAAGACAAAGATTAGCAGCAAAATCTCTCTTGCAATGTTGCTTGAAAGCTATTTTAAGAAACAAAGCTGGGGATTATTCAAAGACTTTATGGCACATCAGACTCCGTGGGAGGTTGGAAGTCGAGGGTGGGAATGTGGGCAGGGACTAAGGCAGCTGGTAAAGGCGAGGCCAGAGGAGACTCAGAGCAGAGGCGTGCGGTCTGCGCACTGGTCCTGCAGTGAATGGCCTCTAACCATCCCACATTCTTGCAATGGTTGTGCAAATTCAAAGCTCCCAGAGAGAGGATCTGGCCCCTTTGGTTTCTAAGAGCAGGCACTTCCCTCTACGGCCTGCCCTCCAAAAAAGCAGCCTGTGGTGGGAAGCTCCCTAGAAGAAAGCAGGAGTGCTATTGGAGTGGTGGGATTGGGTGCTGGGGAAAAAGCTGGACGAGTGACCCCTCTACCCAGGCCCCGAGGGGGAGTCCTGTGAGCATCAGCTCAGTGGCTTGATTTATCAAAGATGGTTTATTACATGGTGATCCTGAGAGCTCTCATTCAACCAAATGTGCTTCACTACGTGCTGATTAAGCCCTTCCGAGTAGAGATGCATCAGTGGACAGAACAGACGCAGTCCCTGACTTTCTACAGTCCCTGCCTCCTCAAATCATCCACCTCGACTTATGGGCCACTGAGTTCACCCTTGCTGTTAGGAGCCCTCAGTTGCTATAAAACAGTCCTGTCCAAACCTCAGCCCTGGTCTGATAGAAGGTCTGGGCAGGAAGGACACCGCCGGCACAGGCTGGAAATACGAAGGACCGGGATCTCTGAGTTCAACTCATCTGCAAGTGAAAAAATGAGCTCGAGCTCAGGGTGGACGCAAGGAAATGCAGAAATGTCACAGGGGACTGATCACCAGCCAGTGACCCTGAGGGGTCTGCAGACAACAGCGCAGCTTGCCAGAAACTTTGTACCTACTGATATTGGCACATATTCATGCAAACAAACATTTCTGTTTCAGTAGATTCTTTTGTAAAACTAATAATTTTACATTCAAAGAATGAGCTGAGCTACCTAAAGTGTGTAGTGTGTGTGTGTATGTGTGTGTGTGTGTGTTCACTAGCAAGTATGAAAAACAGTTAACTTTTTTCCCTTGTTTTTCATGGTGACATCTGGGCATCCATGGTGGTCAATGTCATGGAAAAATCACAAGCCTTGGGAGCTTCCAGGTCTAATATACTGTCTGTTGTTTATCTGTGTCCATGGCCTTGGAGAAGTTTCCTAACTTCGTCGAGGTTTGTTTCCTCACTTATAATATTAGAATGATAATATCTATCCTTTGTCATGCACTTAACATGTGTCAGGTACGATGCTGAAAATTTTAAGTGTATTCTATAATTTAATTTTTCCCCCAATCCATTTTGTTTATTTTTTACTTATACTGATTTTGCAAATGAAGAATCAGACCTAGCTCAGCTAAGTAATTTGCCTAAGATCATGAAGCTAGTATGCATGGAAGAGACAGGATTTTAACGCAGGTATGTCTGACCCCCGAGGCCTCTATTCTCCAACACCTCATTCTACTACCTTCTTACAGGGTATTTCTGGTAGGACAGGTTCAGCTGCAAGTGACAAACACCCTCAACATTCTCCTTCACAATCATCAGGGACTGCAGCTCCTTCTTGTTGCTTTACCATTTCCAGTAAGTGACTTCCACCTCATGGTCCAATATGGCTGTTCACATCCAGCTATCATGTCCACATTCCAGTTGGCATAGAAAAGAAGAGACAATAAGGGGCATGCTTCTTCCTGTTTAGGACACTGCCTCAGAATTGCATGCAACACTTTTGCTGACAACACAGTGACCACACAGGCACGGGTAGCCACAAGGGAGGCTGTGCTCTGTGGCCTTCTCATAGAAATCCATGTACCTAGCTAAAAAAAATGTGGCGTTATATTTATCAAGGAAGAAGGGAGAGGTGAGCGCTGGGGGACAATCTCTGGTGTGTGGGGAAGTGGAAACTATGAGGAGGGGCACCTGGGTGGCTCAGTGGGTTAAGCATCTGCCTTTAGCTCAGGTCATGATCCCAGGATCCTGGGATCGAGCCCCTCATTGGGCTCCTTGCTCAGCAGGGAGCCTGCTTCTCCCCTCCCACTCCCCCTGCTTGTTTTCCTGCTCTCACTGTTTCTCTGTCAAATAAATAAATAAAATCTTAGGAAGGAAGAAAAGAAAAGAAAGAGAAAAGAAAAGAAAAGAAAAGAAAAAAGAAAAGAAAAAAGAAACAAAAGAAACAAAACTATGAGGGAGAAGTAAATGAAGCACGGGGTCCACTGCCTGGCTCAGAGTAGGTCCCT